TCAGGGTGGTGTTGTTTTGTTTTGGGGTTTTTTTGCTTTTAAAGTGCAAGCCTGAGATCATTATACTGCTGCTGTTTTGAGTGGTCAGATGTGGAAACTGGAATCTCTTGGTGAGCAGCATGCTGTTTACTGCTTGTGGGTCTGGCACAGAAGTCATCATTGTTATCTTGCCAGAAATTCACTGCTGAACTGCTCTGCTTCGGATTGCCATGAATCAAAACAGAATTGAGAAAAGCAAAAGGAAACTATACCTCAGTATTCACTCCTGGCAGGCTTTCCGATACTATGTGTTTGGATTCAAGTTTTGGTGATTTATTTCTGTTGATGAGGTCTGGATTTGGGTTTTTGTCTAAGGCAAATTCTTCATTTCTGTGCTGGCAAGCACTGTAGTATAATGAAAATAAAAGCAGGCTATATTTATGCATACTGGTGTATGATCCCAAGTATCTCTCTCCACAAATACACGTTTGGATCCAAATGATAAGACTAAAACTACTATGGGTATCTCTGCAGGGCTGTTCCAATGATCGTTAATTTTTGATGGTGCTACTTAGGACTTCAAGGACATTGCATGTTTTGGTTTGCTTCCTGAGATGGCCTTTTGTCCCTCCACCATGAAGTGGGGTTTGGGTTTAGCTGTAGTAAGTGATCAAGTCAACAATCACGTTCACCACTGTGGTAGTTTTTCATGGCATACATCTGTAGGTTAAAGTTGTTAGAAACACAGTATTAGTTATGGGATTGCATTGTAGAAGAATAAATGGCAGAAATGCACATTTGATAGGTATAGTAGTCTTATCCCACAAGATTCATAGTGAAGAAAAATGTACTGTCTAATGTTGAGTTATAGGCTCTTCCTCTCGTACAGCCATGGTATTAACTAGTTTTTGTGGAAAACAGTTTCTGCAACAGACTTAAATCAGATACTGATGCTGCAGTACTGTATGCTCAGGAAAACAGTGGGTGAGCCAAAGGCAATGCTGTTTTTTTAGCCCTAAAGAAAAATAAATTGCTTCAAATGCACCTATAAATCCTTCTTGTCAGGTGGGTATTCTTCGTCTCGCTTACAGAGAGAATTAAAAGGGTTTCTGGTTTTTCTTTCAGCCCAGTCTACTCCTGCTGTGGGCACCATGTTGTGTAATAACTTTAATAAACTCACTGAACTGTATCTTAAAATGCAGAACTTCACAACCTTAAAGTAATGCTTCTTTGTGTTTAAAACCATAATTCCCGTTTAACTGAATCACTGTAAAGGAAGGAAAACTATTGTAATTGCAAGCATTGGGGAGAAAAGTGCTACAGATGTCTCAATAAATACTAGAGGAGAGAGAAACAGATTTGGGCAGCTGTGTGCATAACTAAAACTTAGAGTTGTTTGTATATTTGCAGGATTTCATGCAAATCCTCAGGCTTTTCCTTCATCTGGTTAAACATGTGCAAAATGGAATAAATCCTTTCACAGTAGATCTTGTTGTAGCTAAGATCAGCAACCTCTAGACATTGGTAAAATTCATCTGCAATGTAATACAGCTGTAGCTGCATTCTGAGTCTTTGAGACTGATTCCTAAAGGTTGTAAGTTACAGTTGCTCTATTGCAGACCTGAGAGTTTTTCTAGAATGGATATCACTTACAGATTTTTAGCTATAAATGGAAAGAAACTCCTTGCATCTTTCGGGCCTGCTTCATTTCCTTCTTCTATTTTTTCTTTTTTGTCCACTGAGTTTTGTCCACAGTTTCCTGTTTGTTCCACAGTGTATTGTATTTACCCACTAGAGAGAGTGGTGTCTGTGTCCAGAACAGGATGGTTCCAGATTAATCTTAAAGGCTCATCATGACTCTGTCAACAAAGCCAAACCAGTTTTGCTGTTGTTGAATAACAGGAGGTCTGAAAAGTTGAGGAGTAGCTTTCATCTTGGATGAGCATCTCATTTAGAGCTTAAGGAATTACTCCATTTTAGACGGACCCCTTTATAAAACCAGATCCAACCCACCCAAATGTATCCTTTCCTCTGTCTCCCAAAAACAGTGGCAAGTTATAAATAGTGAGGTCTTCATGTCACAAGAACAGGAGTTTGGAGTGTTATAAATTAAACCTAGACCTGCTCTGAAGGTTGCTGTTCTCTCCTAGCATTGTGCCCAGGTCGCTATTAGCCCTTCCTTCTTAGCACTAGGGGATGCCTTGCTAATGGACGTTCAGCTATAAAGCGTTTAGATGCAATACCTGGTCTGGTGCTGTTTCTGCTATTGAACCTTGGTTGTGTGGTGAAGCAAAGCCTGAGAAATAGCTGCTTGTGATGGAAGGGCAAATAGCAGGGCTTGGCTGGCTTTGGGGAGGAGCTTCTGCATCTGCTGGTTTTGGGTCAGTCACCTGAGAATCAAGCCAGAGGAAAGTTGCCTCTAGTAAACTTTTGCACCCAAAGAACAGAAAGCAATTTTTGAGGGGATTGTGTATCTTCAAAGGTGGTTCCAAGGTAATCTTTTTTTGGTGCCTTGTACTGAAGAGGTTAGAAAAATGCTTTCCTAAGAAAAGTGACAATTAGAAGTGTAAACGATCCAGTGCCATGTACCACATGCTGCTGTCAGGGTATATGGTTCATCTCAATGGAGATGGTCCGGTAGACAATAGGATCAGCTTCAGCTTGTGGTGAATACCTCCTGTGGCTCAGCAAGCTCCTCCTGCTATCCATACAACTGTTTTCTGGAAGACACATTTTAGGAAATAAATTCTATAGAAAGAGCTAACTGGCTCAGGTGAAACCCACATTTGCTAGGACTACACATTCTTTATTTCTTCTTCCTTGTCTAATGTTTTGGAGAAGACAAATGTGACATTTTTTGCCTTAGTGTGTGTATCTATTTAGTCTGTAAAATGTCATTAATAAGGATGACTTTTGGGACCCTTGGCATGGACACATAACACATGAACACACAAGGCAGGACAGAGCAGAGAAACTTGTCAGGGATATGATTCTCCTCATCGAAGCAGCTTTTATACTGTAAAATGCATTTCTCCTAATGACGCTCGTTCCATGCAGCTTTGTGTGATATTGTCCCAGATTTATGGCTAGTGGTTTCCTGAAGAGCTATTTGGGTAGTCTGTGCTTCAGTGAAACAACTTTCACATGTCCTGTAACAAATCCAAAAGTGTAGTGGAGTAGGTAATTTATCTTGAGTTTCAATGTGAAACAAAATGATGTAGTGAGCTTTTTTCTTCTCTGTGGTGGGGGAAAAAAACTGGATCATTTTCAACTTGGATCCCAGCTTTCTGGTTTCTGAAGTCAACCCTGTGGAGCTGATTTGTAATGCTGCCTCACGCAGCATACAGCAATGCTGCCTTAGTGACAGTAACGAAAATGAACTAATGTCTTCAGCTTTCTTCTCTTCCATTTGTAATGCTGTTAATGCCCTTCTAACAACAGCAGAGATTGCCTAAATGTAAAAAATATAGGGAAGGAACCAACCAGATTTATAACTCTTGTAATGTGTGTTAGGTACTAGAAATAAGAATAATATCACAGGACCAAAACACTTAGACCACCAATGTAAGGAACTTGTGGTTCACTGATGAGAACACTAACCTTTTTCAGGAGAGCTTTGGTGATAGTTTTTCTTGGTTACTCAGTATAAATGCACAGGATAGTATGGTTTTATGTCTGTTACTGGCATTCTGAACTGGCTATATATTTAATAATTACTGTTTTCTATCTAGTATCATATCTATCATATCTAAGTCTTTTAAAAGTAACTAGTTTACCACCTTTAAGGATTTAGTCACTGACTAGTCACTCCAGACCCCACCTGGAGTACTGTGTCCAGCTCTGGGCCCCCCAGTGCAAGAAGGATGTCAGGCTGTTGGAGTGGGTCCAGAGAAGGGCCGCAAAGATGGTCAGAGGGCTGGAGCACCTCCAATGTGAGAACAGGCTGAGAGAGCTGGGGTGGTTCAGCCTGGAGACGAGAAGACTCCGGGGGGATGTTATAGCAGCCTTCCAGTACCTGAAGGGGGCCTACAGGAGAGATGGGGAGGGGCTTTTTACAAGGGCATGTAGTGACAGGACGAGGGGTAATGGCTTTAAACTGGAAGAGGCCAGATTTAGACTAGACATTAGAAAAATTCTTTAATGTGGGGGTAGTGAGGCACTGGAACAGGTTGCCCAGGGAAGCTGTGGATGCCCCATCCCTGAAGGTGTTCAAGGCCAGGCTGGATGAGGCTTTGAGCAACCTGGTCTAGTGGGAGGTGTCCCTGTCTGTGGCAGGTGGGTTGGAACCAGATGATCTTTAAGGTCCCTTCCAACCCAAACCATTCTGTGATTCTATGACTAGAAGCCATCTTCTCTCATGGGTGGTGGGAATGTTTCAGCCAAGTCACTGCCAAGCAGACCTCAAATGCATAAAGTAGCTTGGACTCTTTCAACAAAGAGCTTCACTCCGTCCTGCAGCACCTGCACCGCATGTTTCACAGGGGAAGGTGGAGAGCTGCCGCATATTGTGGGAGGAGGATGAGCTGCAGAAGTGCTGTGGAGATGAGCATTGCTGCAAGCTTGGGTTGCAGCACACCGTGGCTGTGGGAACCAGTCTTGCTCAGCACATTGCTGGCCTCTATGCCCTTGGGGTTCAGGCCTAGCATAGAGGTTTTTTAATGCAAACATCAATACAACATAGCACTCTCACGTTTTAAATTGTTGTCTATTTAAAAGGCCAGTGCTCTTTAAAAGGTCTGACTGTTTTAACACAGCAATGTGAAAACACAAAATAAATGAGACCCCCTAGGGGATGTGTACTTCAAAGCATGTTGTTTGGTTATTGATGGGTCATGACCATGCAGTGCAGATATGATTCTCTCTAGTCATTTTGATCTGCCACGTGAAAGAATGAGTTTTCTCCTTAGCCTGCATCCTTTTCTCTTGATAATTATTAATATGTTGTGGCAGTGGGTGAAAGATGTCACTTCTGATCTATTAACGTCACAAATACTAAAGTTTTTCAAATGGTGTCTCCGTAGGTGGATGGAAGTCTGCTTGGAAGAAGAGCTGCCCCCAACTACAGAGCTGGAAGAAGGCTTAAGAAATGGTGTTTACCTTGCCAAGCTTGCAAAATTTTTTGCTCCTAATGTTGTGTCAGACAAAAAGATCTATGATGTGGAGCAGGCACGCTATAAGGTAATAATTTTTTCAGTTCTCTCACTGACAAGACAAAAATCTAATGTCTCAAAAAAAAAAAAAATCCAATGTCTGTCTTCCAACTCTTAAAAATGCCCGAGCATGGCTGGTTAATTTTCTGCATGTCTTTCATAAGGCTGATGGGACTAGATAGAAGACACACAGCACTAAGAAACCAGCATGATAAGTTAGAAATATTTTACCCTTAGAAAAACTATGTTAGTGTCACTTAATGTTTTTAAAGCTGAACAAATTACACTTCTGGCTCCACGGAAAACATGAGCTTTACCATTTATACAATTATTCCTCACTAGGAATAGGAGCCAAAAGCAATTCAATAATTAAACTTTATAACTATTCTGAACTTTGCTCATCTTGTTTGGGAGAACATTCACATCATTAGATCTGTGTGTTTATTTTACTAAATTTAACATGGAGAAGCAAAAAAACCAAGCTACCAGTAACTAAGCTTAGCTTGCCATGTGTGCAAGCTGTTAATTAACTCTGAGATGCTGAATAATACAGAAATATGTATGCATATGTAGTAGCCCCAGTATGGAATGTATTACCTCAATATGTAGAGGGGGCAGAAAAAAAACTGAAATAGGCATTTTAAAGGTGTAGTCATTGGCTGTTGTTTGAGAGTTGAGAAATTAAGCTGTTCTAGGTCCACATGGTTAAGAGAATGATGATTAGGAGTCCTGGTTACCTTTAAATGCTTCTCTTGAAAATCTCCAAAACTTGAGTTCAGGCTTCCTTCTTCCTTTACCCTGACTCTTTTAAAAATTAGAAAAAATTAAAACACTTCACTTGTAGCTGCTGCTTGTGTAGGCTGTAGGGGGGGTCAGGTATTCAGGTAGATCTGAACAGTGACTAAGAGCTTTTTATCTGTTTTCCTTCAGAGTAGTGCTAAGCAGTGTTAGCAATTCTTTATTTTGGAGGTACTGTTTCCTGGTATTTAACAGCCAGCCTTTACTCCCAAAGACTACTGAAGGGCTGTACAAGTGTCCATTTCAGTCACAGTCAAACCAGACATGTACAAATCTGGCTTATGTTATGTAAAAGAATGAGCTGGACAGCATGGAGCTGTTGATGTGTCAGGATACTTCACTAGCAGGACTGTGGTTCTGGTGCTTTTGTGTCCAGGTTCAGACAAAGGAAAATTCTCTGAATTTGAGTTTAGGATATAAAGTTGAGAAGCAACAGGAGGATCAATAATTAGAGAATTTGCTTTACATTATTTTAATCATCCTTTCCTTCTATGTTTTTAATAGAAATCAGGTCTTCATTTTCGGCACACTGACAACACTGTGCAGTGGTTAAGAGCAATGGAGTCCATTGGTCTACCTAAGGTAAGCCTTAAAATTTTAGCAAAGAAACTGGCTCAATGCACTGACTCACTGAGATCCCCTTTCCTCTGCTTGAGTATAAATAATTGCTTATAGTAAGTCTATGGGGAAGGGTAGTTCAGGAAACAGATCTCAGGAGAAAGTAATGCTGAAAACACTGACACTGTTGGTTATGTGCTACTGCTGCCTGAGTGTGTGGGATGAGTCTACTGTGGATGACAAGTGCTGTGACTGGAAATGCCCAGGGTGTTTCTCCCATGGGAAGTTAAATAGAAACACTAGCAATGTTTTAGCCTTATCTTATTGCTAGTACAGTCTCAGTGGGATCTTGGAAGTAATATAGTTTAAAATAGAAGACTTAAATATTTGCTTCTTTTAGGTTGCCACCTCTCATTGTGTCTCTTGCTGCCTCTTCTTCTTAATGTATATGCTAGTTTCTCTGCCTCTGCCCTGTTTCCAGACTGTCCTTGAATGCTCCACTGCATCTATGTGGCTATACTGCTGCTCCTGTTCTGCCAGAGGCTTTCTTGGGTCGCCTCTCATATACCTTCATCCTTGCTGGTCTTTGCTTATCACCTCCCCCCTCTGCTGCTGTTTCTGGGCACCAGAGTCTTTTTCAGATTAAAATCCTTGAAGAAAGGCCTATGTGGAAACATCTACTTTGCTTGTTTGGACATTTAGGCACCTGCATGCAGCCTGGGGGGAGTACTCCCTTGCCCAGGCTGGCCAGCAGCAGCCCTGGGGTGCCTGGGGGGTGCAACCCAGCGCTACCCTGTGTGCCATGGGGTCTGGCACAGCAGAGGTGCCCAGATGGCTGCCTGAAGGTCTGCAGGAGCTGGTGGCAAGTCGCTGCGAGCAAACTCACTGCAGGTGCCTGTAAGCAGAAAAGGGCACCCACAACTGCCATCAGGAATCCCATAAGGATGAGGAGGATTCTGCCTGTCCCACATAAGGCTTCTTTGTCTAACTGGAGTCCTTCATTCAGCTGGCTGATTTCCACCCTGCCATCCCTCCTCCAAAAGGCTTTGGTTCTGTAGTGGAGGAAGTCTATGGCCAAAAGCTTTCCCAAGTGTCCCCCGCAAAGCTGCTGTGAGAGAATGATTAAGAGGGCACTGTGCTCTGAACTTACTTGGTCTTGTCCTATTTACTGTGTGATGGCACAGCCCTGAGTGACTGACCTGGGCTTGAAGCACACTGCCAACTCTCACAGTTAGCTAAGTCTTTTATTTTATTTTTGTGGAGAAACAGTGTTTAGTGACTGGGACCAAGGCCAGGAACAAATTAGTGGTCAAATCAAAATTGGAACTTCTGATGTGACTTTTTGGCTAAATTGCTTAATATTCCTCTATCTGAATATCTTTCTCTGTAAATGATGTATTTACACAGTTGGGGGTGCTGGCAATTAGAATTCTGCCTTTTTAAACCATACTTGGTAGGTTTGGTTCGCAGTGAGGCTTTGCAAATTGGAACTGTGTCCCAGGCTTTGGGTATCTGTAGGAGGACAAGCCCTGTTGGCTGAGCTTGTGACAAAGGACCTTTTCTAAAAATTTTACTGAAATGCTGTCTGCTTATCTTCCTTTTTTTCTCCTCTTATGCAGTAGCTTTTGTGCTTTAGTAAACTCTTCCTTATGAAAACTACTGATAAAATAACATCAGAAGAGACTTGATTCATAACTGTATAGAACTAACAGCTGAACTTCTGTAAGTCTAAGGTATGGTTCTGCAGAGAGCTCATTTTAGCCACTTTTGTGCTCAGTGCTGTGTCTTGTCCTTTAACTGGGTGTTCTTTGTTTTTTAGATCTTTTATCCTGAGACTACAGATGTCTACGATAGGAAAAACATCCCTAGAATGATATATTGCATTCATGCTCTAAGGTAACTGGTGATGGGAGTAAAAGTTAAACTAACTGCCGAATCTAGGAGTGTTAGTCTTGAATGATTTTAGGGTAACCAGTATTTCAAAATGTGTCAGAATTTACAAGTTCATTACTTTAGGTTGGAAACGTAAGTCCAACTTTGTCAGTGATTGGGCAAGTTATTTTCAAAGTAGAAATGAAGGACTATTGAATTAAGCAGAGACATCTTTCTCAATGAGTACACCACCTCACGAAGTGCACATGTAATTTCAACATGCATACTGCAACAGACCAAATAAATGAACCAAAACTTAATAAAATATTAGTATAACCACAAGGCAGAGGTGCTAACCAGAGTGAAAATTATGATGAACTGTCCCAAAAGAAGAGCGAGTAATTACTGTATTCTGAGATCATTCATGTGAAAATTAACATTTTCCAAGCTTTTAAAGTTCAGAGCAACTTGATTTTGAATGTAAAGTCAGGAAGATTTTTGACCACACCATTGAAGGTAGAGCTTAAGATTTTTTTATATCCTGCCTTAATGATTTTCTTGATACTTAGTACTAAAAGTATTGAACATCTGCCTCTTTCTGTGTCTAGAGTGAGGGGAAGTGAGTTGGCAGATCTACTCTTGTGGCTCTTCCAGCTCATTTCCTGCACATTGAGACCTTTTCCTTTCTTTACTTCCTTGCATAGTAGGCTTGTAGAGAATGTAATTAACTTATGCCCTAAACTCTCTTCTACGTTCCTAACAGTGTTCAAAAGCACATCAGCTCCAGGGCTATAGGTCAGAAACTATGCAATACATGCTGTAATTGAAACTTTTAAAGGTCTAATCCTTGAAATGATGTCCCCATTTTTGCACTGTATGTGCACTCACTGCCAGTAAACAGGGCATACCATCAAAGTTTATAATATTTTTTTCAAGTGCTAGGTGTTTCAGTTGATAGCTCTGGATTTTTTTTTGTCACCTTTGATAAGTGTTATCACGTGACATTATTACGCCTGGTGTAATATGAACTGGATGCTGTCATCAGGAGTCTTTGAGCGTAGCTTTCGCCTAAGAGTTAGTGGTGTGGTGTGCTCTGTTCTGTCAGTGAGTATCTTGTGTAAGTTTGAAACGGTTTCCTGAAGTCGATGTGTGGGGCTCTAATGTTAACTGCCTCAGGCTGGCACTGTGGGCTGCGTGCCCCTCTGGCCACATTATGGGCCAGCTCAGATGTTTTGCAGGAGGTGGAAGAACACAAAGGTTTTCCAGTATTTGCTTTCTCACGTATGGAGGAGGACTTTTATCAACTGTGGATCTGAATGCTACATGAACAATAAGCCTGTCTGTTAGATATCTTCTTAAGACCTGCCTAATCACTGCAATGGCAAAAACTCAAATTTTGTCTTGAACTGAATTTTGCAATGGGTTGACCTTTGGTAGAAGTTTCCCTTTCTCCTTCTTGACATGCCCCGAGATTTGTGACAATATCAGAATTAGTCTGTGTTGTCTCAGCATTTGTTTCAAAGTCTGTCATGTTTAAAGTACTTTTCCATGCTCAGCTATTATTTTAGACATGGCTTCTGTATCAAATGTGTCATGGCACACTGAAGTGGAACAGGCCTGCAATTCTTTTGCTTATGATGCCTTCCCATGGAAGTGTAGGGCCCTGAGCTTGCATCCCATACAGGATGTGAGAATTAAAGAAACAGTTTTCTTCTTCATTTATTTACTAGAATCATAGAATGGCCTGGGTTGAAAAGGACCTTAAAGATCATCTAGTTTCAACCCCCTGCTGTGGGCAGGGTTGCCAACCACTAGAGCAGGCTGCCCAGGGCCCCATCCAGCCTGGCCTTGGACACCTCCAGGGATGGGGCATCCACAGCTTCCCTGGGCAAAAGATTTCCAAAAATTTCCGTACCTTTTCCTAAAATGTATGTTGTAAGTCCTTCACTTAGCATAGATTCCAGAAGGAATTCCTAAGGCATGTGGAAAACAAGCAGGTGATTAGTGATAACCAACACAGCTTTACCAAGGGAAAATTGTTCCTGACAAATTTGGTGGCCTTCTACAACAGGGCCACAGCACTGGCGGATAGAGGAAGGGCAACTGACATCATCTACCTGGACTTGTGCAAAGCCTTTGGCACTGTCCCACGTGACATCCTTGTCTCTAAGTCGGAGGGTCATGGATTTGATGAAAGGACCACTTGCTGGATAAGGAATTGGCTAGACGGCCACACTCAGAGTTGTGGTCAATGGCTCAATGTCCAAGTGGAGACCAGTGACAAGTGGTGTTCCGCAGGGGTCGGTAGTGAGACCAGTGTTGTTTAATGTCTTTGTCAGAGACATGGACAGTGGGATCAAGTGCGCCTTCAGCAAGTTTGCCAATGACACCAAGCTGTGTGGTGTGGTGGACACGCTGGAGGGAAGGGATGCCATCCAGAGGGACCTCGACAGGTTTGAGAGGTGGGCCCATGGAAACCTCATGAAATTTAACAAGGCCAAGTGCAAGGTCCTGCACGTGGGTCAAGGCAATCCCAAGCACAAATACAGGCTGGGTGGAGAATGGATTGAGAGCAGCCCTGAGGAGAAGGATGTTGGGATATTGGTTGATGAGGAGCTCAACATGAGCCGGCAGTGTGCGCTTGCAGCCCAGAAAGCCAGTCGTGTCCTGGGCTGCATAAAAAAAAGTGTGACCAGCAGGTCAAAGGAAGTGATTCTCCCCCTCTACTCTGCTTTTGTGAGATGCCACCTGGAGTACTGTGTTCAGCTGTGGGGCCCCCAAGATAAAAAAGACTGGGACCTATTGGAGAGAGTCCAGAGGAGAGCCACAAAGATGGTCAGAGGGCTGGAACACCTCCCCTGTGAGGACAGGCTGAGAGCGTTGGGGTTGTTCAGCCTGGAGAAGAGAAGGCTCCAGAGGGACCCTACAGCAGCATTCAGTACCTGAAGGGGGCTACAGG